CCTTTGTCACCGGTTCTGTTCATTATTTTCATGGACAGAATTTCTAGGCGCAGCCAGGTGTCGGGTGGGGTCCAGTTCGGTAGCCACCGGATTTCATCTCTGCTTTTTGCAGATGATGTGGTGTTGTTGGCTTCTTCGAACCAGGACCTGCAGCATGCACTGGGGCGGTTTGCAGTAGAGTGTAACGCAGCTGGGATGAAAATTAGCACCTCTAAGTCCGAGGCCATGGTTCTCGACCGGAAAAAGGTGGTATGCACCCTTCGGGTCGGGGATGAAGTCCTGCCTCAGGTGGAGGAGTTCAAATATCTGGGGGTCTTGTTCACGAGTGACGGTAGAATCGAGCGTGAGATTGACAGGCGGATCGGTGCTGCGGCCGCAGTAATGCGGTCGCTGTATCGGTCCGTTGTGGTGAAGAAGGAGCTGAGCCGAAAAGCGAAGCTCTCAATTTACCGGTCAATCTACGTTCCTACCCTCACCTATGGTCATGAGTTGTGGGTCATGACCGAAAGAACGAGATCAAGGATTCAAGCGGCTGAAATGAGCTTTCTCCGCAGGGTGGCAGAGCGCTCCCTTAGAGATAGGGTGAGGAGCTCTGTCACGCGGGAGGAGCTCGAAGTAGAGCCGCTGCTCCTCCACATCGAGAGGAGTCAGCTGAGGTGGCTTGGGCATTTACATCGCATGCCCCCCGGACGCCTCCCTCGGGAGGTGCTCGGGTGCCGTCCCTCTGGGAAGAGACCCAGGGGAAGACCTAGGACACGCTGGAGCGACTACGTCGCTCGGCTGGCCTGGGAACGCCTTGGGGTCCCCCCAGAAGAGCTAGAGGAAGTGTCGAGGGAGAGGGAAGTCTGGGTGTCCCTGCTCAGACTGTTGCCCCCGCGACCCGGCCCCGGATAAGCGGTTGAAGATGGATGGATGGATGGATGGCATTAAAATGAAGAACATTAATAGAAAAAAATACCCTTGATAAGGTATGGATCCAGCATCTGAGCTTGCTCAAACTTGAGGATGGCATTTTTTGTGTCCCCTGCTCTAAAGTACACGTCTGCCAGGCTCACCAGCAGGTCAACGTTGTCCCGCAGGAGAGACTTCTTCTCCAAAGAGCTGAGAGAAAATGAGAGGAATGGAGACTAGATCTTTTTTTCTCCCTTTAAAATCTTGTCCTTACCAAATAGTGTTGATGGCTCTTTGATTGTCTCCTGTGTGTATAAAGGCATAAGCTTTGATCCAAACAGAGAGCCAGTCCAGGTTAGGGATGCTCTGGATCACATCCAGCGTCATGGACGCCACTTCAGCTCCCTTGACCGACAGAGACAGGAGACCTGGCAATAATAAATCATACATCTTTAGCCCATCAAACAAATAGAGCAGCAAAATGATACACTTTTTAAACTTCAATTTTCATAGAACGCTAGACAGATTGTACCATTCTCAATGGTTTATTATTACTTGTTTAATGTGACCATTCCTACCAATGATGGCGTCCAGGGCAAGTGGACACTGTCTGAGAACCTCTTTATAACTGGTCACAGCAGAACGTTCCTGACCAGCTTTCCTGTAGAGGTTAGCTAATATCATGTTGATCTAAAAGAAGTGAGAATGATGACATTATTTATTTATTTAACGCCATTAACTTTAAGGGCAACATAAAAGCAGTAGTTTACTTTCGGAGTCCTCTGTCTGGATGGAATCCCATCGAGCACAGCAATGGCATCTTTGTCCAATTTTAAGATGGTGTAGCATTCAGCTATCTTGTATTTGACCTCAATTTCTGATGGCAAATTCTGAAAGACAAGAATTGTATTATTCCACATTAGATGACTAAGTCTGTCCTGTAGACTCTCCTCACCAGATTTCTCTAGACTCAGTCAAAGATGTGGAAAAATGTGCAAAAATGCACCTGTGCCTGAATGTTAGATGCTGCTCCACCAGTAGAAGTACGAACTTTAGATGTTTTACTGAGTACTTTTTTCTGTTGCAGTGCCATACTGTATTTGCACGCAGCGTTGCGATATTCTTTGTCATGGAAAATGGCATCAGCGTGGTAAACCAACAGCTGGTACTTCTGAGCTGGAGAGAACAACTCCCTGATGTTGAAAAACAAGAAATAGTGGTCAATACCATGTCGTAAAAACAATACTATAATATAGTTAACATAAGGTAGAAACAAGTATTATGTCATAAAGTGCTGGTGACTGAGTATATAATAATTGGGACTGGGAAAGATGTGAACTTATTAGGATTAGGATTAAAATAAGATAGTAAGTAAAATAAAATAATAATTATTCTTCTTCTTTCAGCTTGTCCCTTTTTCAGGGGTTGCCACAGCGAATCATTGTTTTCCATCTCTCTCTGTTCTTTGCATCTTCTACTCTGACTCCAACTATCTTCATGTATCCACTGTCCCTCCTCTGTACATGTCCAAACCATCTCAATATGGCTTCTCTAGCTTTTTCTCCAAACGTTCCTGTTTGTGTTGTCCCTCTAATGACCTCATTCCTGATCCTGTCCATTGTTGTCACTCCTAAAGAGAATCTTAGCATCTTTAACTCTGCCACCTCCAGCTCCGCCCCGTCTTTTGCCTATTAGTGTCTCTAGTCCAAACCATACAGTGGTATGAAAAAGTTTGGGCGCCCCTGATCATTTTCAAGATTTTCCTTTATGTATCATTGGTTGTTCGGAACAGCAATTTCAATTAAATATATAATTTAGCAAACAAACACAGTGATATTTAAGAAGTGAAATGAAGTTTATAGGATTTACAGAAAGCGTGCAATAATTACTTAAACAAAAGTAGGCAGGTGCATAAATTTGGGCACCCTTGTTGTTTTATTGATTTGAATACCTTTAGCACTAATTATTGGAACTCAAAATTTGTTTGGTAAGCTCATTGACCCTTGACCTACATACACAGGTGAAGCCAATCGTGAGAAAGGGTATTTAAGGTGGCCAGTTGCAAGTTGTTCTCCCCTTTGCATCTTCTCTGAAGACTGGCAACATGGGAGCCTCAAAACAACTGTCAAATGACCTGAAAACAAAGATTGTTCAACATCATGGTTTAGGGGAAGGATACAAAAAGCTAGCT